GCTGGTCTCAAACGCCTGACCTTAGGTGATCCACCCACCTCAGCCTCCCAAAGTGCTGGGATTACAGGCGTGAGCCACTGCACCTGGCCGTGAAGGAAGATGTTTTTTAAAAAATTGTTTTCTTTAATATTAATTGAACACCTGTGTACAGAGCACTAGGTTGGTGCTAAAGGGTTTCAGACATGAATCAGATCCAGCACCTCAGAGAGCCTTCACTCTGGCAGACACACAGCCACAAGGAGACACAGACAAGGCAGCGTGGGATGAGTGGAAGTTGCTAGCTTCCAGATGCCGATTTGGAACACTTGGCTTCTGCAGTGAAGCCCCTTCTCAGTCCTCTTCAGTAACCCAACTCTCAGTGGATCCAGATCTGGATTATAAGATTTGGAGAGATGATTGGGGATTGAGGAGAGTTCTCTAACCTGTTTTACCACCTCCTCTTCTGCCCATCCTTCCTGTCCACATCCCAGCATCCCTTTCCCTTGCCATGTATCTGTGACCTCTGTAGTCCTTCATAAACAGCTGTCTTCTTACCCTACAGATCATTGGGCAGGTGTATGCAGATCCTGACTGCCTTCCCCGAACACTGGACTTTGGCCTCAACGTGAAGCTTTTCTGGGAGAAGTTTGTTCCCACAGATTGTCCCCCAGCCTTCTTCCCCCTGGCCGCCATCTGCTGCAGACTGGAGCCTGAGAGCAGGTTGGTATCCTGCCTCTTTCTCCCAGATCGCAGGGTCCTGGGATGTTTGCCTCAGTCTAAGACCACCCCTGAGTGCTTCGTAACACAGGGGTGAGAGAAGCCTTCAGGTCAAGAATGTGGCTGTCAACCCGTTAGCCATCTGACAACTCATATGTACAGGTTGGAGAAGAGAGAGGTAAAGTCATAGCAGCAAGTAAGCTGAATAGGACACAGACACACAGCCATTAAAAGAAAGTTTATGGGCTGGGCGCGGTGGCTCAAGCCTGTAATCCCAGCACTTTGGGAGGCCGAGACGGGCGGATCACGAGGTCAGGAGATCGAGACCATCCTG